ATTTCACCAAATTTTCTCTTATGGTTTGTGGTGCGTGCACACTCTAAAAACGCACAAGCTAGACATAGCGTAATACAAAAATAATAATAATTTGTACTTATGAATGTTACGATGAAATTATTACACCAACAAAAATTGACAATTCACGTCATACACTGAACAAATACGAATACGTGAACAACAATTTAGGTAATCATACGCGAGACATCAATTCTATTTCAGACTTACAGTATTGCAATAAATAACGACTCGGTGATTCGTAGAAGACCTATTACCTATTAAATTATAATAATACGATGTATCCATTTGGGATAATTTTAAAAATAGTACCCCAGTTGCTTACAGTCGAACATTCAACATTCATGCATACATGTCAATATGATATATTGTTATTGTCTTTATTTAGATAAATTTAGATTAACTAACAATTTCGTATATTATTTGTGAAATTATTCATGTGAATAATAATTTATAATAATAAATTTTTAGGGGTGTTACGGGTTCGGGTAAATTCGGGTACAGAGCTGACAATAAGCTAATAGGATTTCTTTTTTTTTACATGATGATATAATATGAGGAGGGAGGCTGTCCAGTGACAGAACCCTCATACGTCGATAGTGTCAGGGGCTTAATAAATCCTTTCACCAACGCCTTTTTAATCGTCGATTGGGATTATTAGGTAGGTTCACTCCGCTCTGATTGGCTATAAGAGGATTGATGTGGGTGGCAAGTTTGGAGTGGAATTTTTTGTAGTGTTTGAAAGCAACTGTGGCAATGGTTTCAATTTTGAGGTCATCTTGGTGTAAATTATTAGAAACATACCAGGGTGCAGAAGTTAGTAAACGTATAGTAATTGATTGAAAAGCTTGTATTGTTTTTGTTTGGGATGGTTTGGCATAGTCCTATATCTGTTTTCCGTAAGCCCAGATGGGTCTTAACATTGAATTATAAATAGTTATTTTATTGTTGAGGGAAAGATTTGATTTGAGGATAGGACGGAGGAGGTGAAGTCTACTGTTAAGTTTTTTTAAGTGGGGACCCCAGGTGAGACGTTTATCTAGGATCAGACCCAGATATTTAATTTGGGATTGCCTTTTCTTCAAATTGAAGGACAGGAAGTATTTCTTTTTTTAATGTAAAAGGAACGTAGAAGGACTTTTCAACATTAGTTTTGATTCTCCAATTGGATGTCCATTTTTATATTTTTATAAGATACGATTGGAGATTAGAGGCTGCTATAATGTTGTTACTATGGTTGCTTAAAATTACTCTGTCATCAACATATGTAACAATTAGGATATTATCAGCGCTTGGTATAGCGGCAGTGAAAATGTTGTAAAGGTCTGGGGACAGGTCACTCCCTTGGGGGACTCCTGCATGAATTTTGAAATAGGAGGAGAACGCATTACCTTGTCTAATAACCAATGAACGATTAGAGAGGTATGATTTAATTAATAAATAAAGGAGTGCTGGTAGAATTTTTTTTTTATTTTAAAATGTAGTCCTTGATGCCATGCTTGGTCAAATGCTTGGGAAACATCGAAGAAGACGCTAAGACAGTATTTTTTTTTCTCGAACAAGGAAGACATTTTATCTATAATACTATGGATTTGTTGGGTGGTAGAATGTTTAGGTTTAAAGCCGAATTAAGTGTCAGAAATTGTTTTTTGGGTTTAGGTGACAGATCTGATTCTGAGGAGCAATATTTTTTCAAACAATTTGGCTAACACTGGTAATAAACTGATAGGTCGATATGAAGATACCTCATTTTTTGGTTTGTTTGGTTTTTGTATGAAAATTATTGTAGAAAACTTCCAGATAAGTGGGAAGAATGATAATCTTAGTGTTGAGTTGAATTTATGAGGGAGGAATTTTAGTATTTTGTTGGTGATTAAATCGTAACCAGGAGATTTTTTGTCCTTTAGCTTAAGTATTACATTTTTTATTTCTCTAGGTGATGTGTGTTTCACGAAAAGTAACATTGGTAATGAGGTGTCTAAAAAATTTTCAATTTCGTTTAGCTTGTTTAGGTTGGGAGATATATTAGAGTGTGGTTTAAATATGTTTGAAAGGTGAATACCAAAAACGTTTGCTTTTTTCTCATCGGATATAGCTAATGAGTCATCTTAGTTTTTTAGAGGATAACTATGGTTTTAATTTTAATAAAATTTTTAGTAACTTTCTATAAGAATTCGTCCTGTGTATTTAGTGCTTGATATTTGGACTTGAAGTAAATTGATTTGTAGGGTTGTATTAATTTTTAATTTTACTGGACATGTAATTAAATGTTCGTTTGTCAGAAGGAAGACCGGATCTTTGCCAGCGGGAACGGACTCTGCGTTTCTCGGCAATTAGTGACTTGATATCAGATGAAAGTTCGTAAACATTATTTTGAATTGAATTGATTCGATTGGGTGAATAGGTTGATTTAAAAACAGCAGATTGTATTGAGGTGATGAAATCGTGTGTAGCAGTTTCTATTTCGTCGCTGGTTTTTAATGAAATTTTTAAATTAGTATTATTTTCTTAATGATATACGAATTTAATCCAATTCATAGGACCATTTGAAGGTTGGAGAGGGTTGAGGGTAGGTAGACTGTTTATGTCTAGGATAACTGGGCTGTGGTCTGAGAAGATATCGTTTGAATTATATATGTTGAACTTTATATGGTTGGGAATTGATGAAATGAAAAAGTCTAAAATGTTAGGGTATCAATTTTGGTGAGATGGCCAATATGTAGGACCTGGAGGTAAAATACATTTATATCTAATATTTTGTATCACATTGAGGATCATGAGACCCGAGGGTTTTCACATCTACAACCCCAGTTGGGGTGTTTGGCGTTAAAATCCCCTCCAGCAAAAAAATGTGTGACCGAATGATCGTAGAAACAGATTTGGTGGTTGGGGTTTGCTGGTCGGGGAGAGTAATAGACTGCCGATATTGTAGTGGGTATGTGGTAAAGTGTAATTGATATATTTATTGCTTAAATAGTGGAAAGTTGTAAGTTTAAAAGATTGTGTTTAATTTGCGAGGAAATAATAATGGCAGAGCCTGCATAAGCTATTCCATCAGGGTGGTCTGTCCTTACACTTATTTAAACAAAAAAAAAAAAAAATTATTTAGATATACTTTTGTTTAAGAAGTATTAGTGTTTTTACCAACTTCAACATTTCAATTAATTTTATCATAAGTTCTAGAATTTCAGGTTAAAAATATACTTTTATTGCGCCTCTGAATCTATCAATTATCTAGAACAGGGATGGCAAACTCGTGACTCATATGTAGCCCACCTTGGAAATTTTGCGACCAGCAAGATTTCTCAAACATTTACAAAAAAAATTTATTTTTGTCCAAACAGAATATTCTGGAATGTCCCCTCAACGCGGAATCCGTATTAATAACAAAGTAATCGTAACAAATTGTTTGATTTATCAACAAAATCTTTGTTCCCAAATACATGAACCATGTTATGCAACCTACAATTCAACGAGTTCTTGAAAGAATTGGATTCAAAATACGGTGTCGTAGTATATTTTAGTCATGTCAGATGATTAAGTCGTGGAAAATATTTACAACAATTTTATGAGTTACGCCATGAGATTAACTTGTCTAAGAATGATAAGCAAAAACCCTATTAGAATTAAGTTATGATGAATGTTTATTGGATTTATGTTTTTTCAATAATTATCATCAAAAAACTCAATCAATTAAATATATCATTATAGTGAAAAGATAATTTAATAATTGACTCATTTAATCACATCAATGCATTTCAGAAGAAATTTTTGTTATTTTAATTTCAATTAAAATTGAATAACATTCAGCACTTTCCATTGCTAAACGAATTGAAAGTTTCAAAACATATCGATAACATTAAATATGCAAAAGAAATAAGTAAACTTACAGCTGCTTTTGAAACTCGTTTCACTAATTTAGACAAATACAAGAAAATATTTTAAATATATTCATCTCCTTTTCATACTGTTCTCAAGTCAGCCCCAGAATATCTTTAAATGGAACTCATTGACTTACAATGCTATAATGAATTAAAACACATTTTTGAAACATCAAAATCAAAAATAGATTTTTATAACAATAATTTCACCAAAGAAAAATTTTCCAATTTGAGAAATCTGGCACAAAAAGTTGTAAATGCTTTTAGGTCGACTTATAGATGTGAATCGTTTTTTTTTTTTTTGAAAATGAAATTCGCCAAAGATAAATCACGCTCAAACCTAACAAATGAAAACCTGCAACATCAATTACGATATGCAAATACAACCATTTTTGTTTATTTTCAAAAAATCAGTGAACGAGTTTAGAAAAAAAATGTCTCACTAAATAGTGAAATAAATAAATTAAAACTAATAAATAGTACATTATCTATGTTAATAAATTATGAGTCAAAATAAAAATAAATATTAAATAATTATGTTTATATCAAATAATTAATACACCAAAACTAATTAAACAAAACTAATGTTTACTACAAATTTTTTTGTATTGGGGAAAAATACTAATATAATTTTATAAATGGTCCGCGGGATCGTAATGTACTTCCGAAGTGGCCTGCAAGATCATTTAGGTTGGCCACCCCTGATCTAAAACTACTATCATTTAACAGTAAATAGAAAAATGTATGTTATATTAAACAATGATATTGTAATCTGACATAAATATTTGTATTGAATTGATAGTACAAGACTTATGAATTTTGAAGATTAATATTAATATTGGAAATATTACAGATTTTATTTTATTGCAGATTTCATAAGTTATGTTATTATTAATTAGTTTAAGAAGTGGCTTTTCTAATTTAGATACGAGCATAGTTTCATGCGAGTACAATTATTTTTAATAATTACTGATAACACTGAATTTAAAAATAAAATATTTAAATGCGTTAATAAATTAGATACATAGTTTAAAAATGTATATGTTTTTCTTTTATAATATAAAATCATATTCACAATAACAATTTTACAATTTTCTTCATAATTTATAAATTAAAGCAGTCATAAAAAAAAAAAATTAAACAATTATTATTTTTATAAAGTTGGAGTAGAAAAATAATGAGGAGCTACTTCTAATAACAAAGATGGTGTTATTTCAATCAAATTTTTAATATATATTTTCGTTGTTTCTAGAAGTTCGTCGTATAAGACCCTGTAACATTATAAAAAAGTTATTAATATATAATTTACCTAATTAAAATTAATAAAAAATGATCTTAACTTTTCAATATAAAACTAAAATACATTAAGTTCACTAGTTATACTTGTCTAGGATATATAATATTATTTCTGTATTATTAAAAATATATCAAACATTTTTTAAGAATATTATCATATTATTATTATAGTAACATAATAATTTGATAAATAAAACTAAAAGTAGGTAAACGAAATTTCGGAAATAAAAAAAAAGATAAAATTACATGTATGCCATAATTATGTTTACTTACACTAAGTAATGCAAGTAAATATAAATTTAAATTTATAAATAAAAAACAATTGCTGCTATTGGTTTTATCAAAATCAAAATTAAGTAAAAGAATAACTTATTTAATAGTATACATATTTTATTTCAATTTTAAAAGCCATAACTAATTATTTAACTATAATTTTAATTACAAGAATTGGGCTCAAAAATTTAAAATATAAAATAAAAACAGTGAGATTTTATGAAAGCATACATGCTTAAGATAATTAATTTTAAGTAAAAAATTTGTTAATATAATTAAATTATAAGAATCTTACGTTAAATAAAATCAAACAGTATATATTGAGTATGATGATTTAATAAATCGTTGTATTTTAAATTATTTAAAAGCTAATTACAACTGGCTTACCATTGTGGTTGATTTACATAATTTAGAACAGATTTAGGATGGAAATAAAGATCTTCATCTGCACCAACAGATCTATAAACCCCAGTGTAATGTAAATAAGCAGCATTTTTAAAGAGTCCTGATGCAATGCACTTCACAATAACTCTTGTATCACCTAAATTATATAAACATATGTTATGTTAAAAATCTTAGAATATTAACATAGAAAAATATATACCTCTACATGATTTAAGTGGAATTTTTGATGATCTCATTAAATCTATTAAATGAGAACGAATTTTTTGTGCTTTGCATAGTTCATTATAATTTATAAAAAAACGATGACACCATTGTTTACTGCATTGGTTTTTTTCAAATCCATTGTAGATATTTAATAACGTTAAGAGATCTCCTTCTGCAACTTCAAAATTTCTATGCTGCATTTTAGCTTTTTGTATTGTAGCACCATACTTAGGACGAATAAAAGCATCTTGAAGTTGAAGCATAGCTAATATCGATACAATTTCTGCAGAACAACCCATTTCGCCAGATTTTAATAATATTCTGGAATGTTTTAACTGCAATGGAAATTTAGCCATTATAGTTCCAAATTTATCTGTTAAATTTCCAAATTCATCTATAGCTTCTAAAGCCTTCAACATTTCTAAAGCATAAAGTAGATTTTTAGCAGGAGGTGGACTAAGGAATGGAAATCTCAAAATATTATTAATATAAATTGATTTAAGTTGTAATGTCACATCAGTTAAATCAGATCTCATCATTTCTGGTGGAGTGGCATTTATTAAATTATCGTATGCTTCTTTTGTATATAATCTAAAAGAAAAAAAATTGAATAATTAAAGTAATAAAATATAAATATGAATAAATACTCTAATAACTGATATATGTATAAAGTATGTACCTGTATACTTTTCCAGGTCGTTCTCTTCCAGCGCGACCGGCTCTTTGAATTGCTGATGCTTTAGATATAGGAACAGTTATCAAAGAATCAGCTCCAAATTTAGAATTAAACCACTTTAATTTAACAAATCCACAATCAATTACTAAAAATAAATAAAATTTGTTTAATTTAAATTTCATTGATATAAATTTTATATTTTGTAATATTAACTAAACAAATATTTTATAAGAAATAGAAAGAAATAACTTTTTATTTATTTCATTCAATTTATACTTTTTATTTACTTAAATGCTAAGAATTTTAACTTTGGGACACATATACATTTTTATAAAATTTGAATTCACAAATTTTTTTTTTTTTGGTAATGTATAAATATTATAAAATTAAAATAAAAACCATATTTCATCTAGTATTATTGATTATTTTATATAATTTGAATTTTTTCAAACTTGCATTATTTTATAAAAAGTAAAAACAGGAAACCCAATATAATATTGTAAAAATTTGTTTTATGAATAATAAATTTACCATAAACAATTCCCGATATTGTAACTGATGTCTCAGCAACATTGGTTGAAAAAATTACTTTTCTGTATCCTTTTGGTGCTGGGCGAAATGCTTTAAGTTGTTCATCATTAGTTAATGTACCATGCATAGGTAGAGGTAGAAGTCGAATTCTAAATAAAATATGAAAAATAATTTAAATATGATACAGCTAAAAAATATTTAAAAAATTGTAATATACATGCGAGATCATAAATTATATAAATTGTATAAAATGTGAAATAATACGTTTATTTTAAAACCTTAATTTAATAAAAGTTTTTCAGAGTGTTGTATTGAAGATCTTATAATCTGATCAAAAGTTGGGGTAATATATATATATATATTTATTGAATAATTATTATCAAATCTATAGAATTGTAACTTAAATGTATAATAAATAATATACATGCTTTAAGTAATGTCACAAGATTTAAAATAAATAATTCAAATAACTATTTTAACAAAACAATATTTAACAAATATCTTACTTATAAATTAAAAGAAAAAAAAGAATTATCTTTATTCATAATAATAATAGATTATTCCATACTTAAAATGTAAATACTAATAAAAAAAACTAACAAAGTCAAATATTTTGATAAGTAAGTAAGAGTATTACCGAATGAAAAACATGTTATACAATATTCAAATCATAAAAACACAACATTTTATATTTCATCAAAATCAATCGAAATGCTTGTTTTTTCATATCATAAATCTACAAACAGAATGGCATTTTTAAAGCAATGACACAATCAATAAGTTCATTGTTTGATCCAAGAAGGTACTTAAAAACTTTCACTATAATTTCACGATCAGAAAATTTAAATGGAAAATAAAAATAAAAATGTTAATTTAAAATGTCATCCCTACATACAGAAATTTTTAGGTAAAAATAATCAGTTTTAATATATTCAAGCACACAAATAATACAATAAAACAAATGTATACTTTTCGTTTGTATTCTTGGTGGAATAATCATCCAATGTATTAACGGCTTGCATTATTTCTTCTTTTCCGGTCAAAAATACTAAAATATCCCCTGAAGGAGTATTTTGTTGAATTTTTAGTACTGTATTAATTGATTCATCAATATAATTTGGAGCTGGTTCTACAAATACAGATTATATTTTTAAATTACTAAAATGTATGAATTGTATATTAGTAAATTATACCTTTCAAATAATATATTGTAATAGGATAAGATCTTCCTTCAATACCCAAAACTGTAGCAGTATCATCTTCAGGATTATTACTTTGGTTAAAATTAAAATATGATTTAAGTTGTGAGGAATCCAAAGTAGCTGATAATACTATAAGTCTTAAAGTTGGTCGTTTCTGTAATTTAAATAAAATTAAAGTTAAAGAACTGTGTACTATTAAATTATTAAACTATTAAATTAATAATATTAGTTAAAACTAACCTTCAAAACTTTTTTAATAAGTCCCATTAAAATATCAGTCATCAAACTTCTTTCATGAATTTCATCTAATATGATAACTGAATAATTTACCAATAAAGGATTACTCATCATTTCATTCAAAAGAATACCTTCAGTAATATACTGTAATTATATTTAAACATTTTATGTTAAAATCTTGAATTACATAAAAATATTTACTATGAAGTACTTACTTTAATTTTAGTACCTGGTTGGCAGCAATTGTCAAATCGAACTGAATAGCCTACTAATTGGCCGAGAATTGTTTTTTGTTCCTGAGCTACTCGAGTAGCTAAAGTTATGGCACTTATTTTCCGAGGTTCAGTGACAACAATTGTTTTATCAAATTGGCATAAACCACTTTCTAAAAGCATCTAAAATACATTTTTCAATAATTGATTAAAACCATCAATTACAGTTAAATTATGAAAATTCAATAATTCAAATTATAGACAACCTAATTAAAATATGAAGTGTCTTTAAATGTATACAATGGTGCCCAACCTGCAAAGGTATTCTAGGTGGCCCGTTATAAATTTTTAAAATAAAACAAAATATTCTATATTTTTTTTCTATTTTTTTCTTTTCCTTATTTTTAAGTAAAATTATTGTAAAATGTGTTTTTATTAATTTATAAATTATATTTCACTATATTTTTTATGCTAGATGATTTAGTCATAACTAAATAGCATAAGGAACTTTATAATAATACATTTCTGATTGAGTATTTATTTCTAAATCAAATGATAAACTATATATTGGAGTTCCTAAGATTAAATTTATCTGAACTAAAGCCAAATTTATTTATAACAAATAACTAATGAACATAATTTTTACAATATACAATAAAATCTATAGCTAGGTATTATATTATTAATTAAATGGTTATTATAACATAAGATAATTAACTATAAAAATAACCTTCAGATTTTTATTTTAATACTGTAAATTATTAAATTGTATAACAAATTTTTATGTTAAATGGTATTCGTGTAGCAGGTGATCTACCGGGGGGGGGAGAGGGGGGATCTGCGAATTCATTACGAGTGATCTACGTTTTAATAGTATAAAAACACTTTATATTTTTTACTACGAGTACACCATATTATACAAATATTTGTCAAATATAAAAATAAAAAATAATTAGCCAAATATAATTATAATTTCAATTACAGTAAACATTTTTTAAATTTCAGATGCACGCATTATAGATTAACTCCAATCAATGAACAATTTGAATCTAACCTATCCAATAACATTGCTAATGACTCGTAGTTATATTGTAAATGTCATTAATCGTTATCGAAATACTGTCCCACTGTTGTCTACGATAATGTACATATAATAATAGTATAATATAATAATAGCATATTAATAATAATAATAATTGTAGATCACCTGCTACACGAATACCTGTTAAATATATTATTAAATTTACCTTAAATTATAATAATTTAATGAAGTTAAATATTTAAAAATTAAATAATTTATTGGGGTTATACATTTTGATAAATAAAAATAATAAAAATATTGCGTTAAAATATTTTTAAAGAATATTACTTATAATAGAATACGGATCGAGGTCTCTACTTAAAAATCATATAAGAAAAATAAAAATTTAAATTAATAAATTATAAAATATAAATGTTTGTACAAGGTTATTTAAAATAAAAATTAATAAAAATAAATACTTATAATAATAATTTCTCATACTTGAAGTATTTCAATAAATTTAAGATTCTGCATTTTAATAAAGAAAAACAAAGAATAAAATTAAGTATTATGTATTAAAAAAATAATTTTCCTCAATGACCAAAATACTGATTAGCCTAGTAATAATTTTATAAAGAATAAGAAGTTGATAATAAACTATACAAATCAACATCAAGAACATAATATTATGGAAATAAATTATTAAAATAATAAAATATAAAACATACTTGTGATACTTGAGTACTTTTTCCACTTCCCGTAGAACCAACTAATATTAATGTTTGAAACTTTTCACAAAGATATAAAACATCATTTCTGTATTTAGTGATAGGTAATTTATTTTTTTGACTTTGTAAATCCAATGACATATATGGATTATACACAAATGAAGAAGATATGGCAGATTCAAAACTAGAATCTTCCTCTCCATATCCTGGTTTTTCATCTATAATAATCATTATTATATTAAGAACAATATAAACTAATTTTTAGTAAAATTGTTTAATATAAAAATTATATTTAAAATATTGTGAATAAATCCCAGTAGAAAATACAAAATACAATAATATTAAGTCTACATTTTGAACTATTGGTATGTTATCAAAATGTCACAAAAATATTTTTCTAAGTGGTAAGTACACGATGGATGATTGAGTGAGAATATAAAACATCAAACTTACCAGGATTTTTAAACCGAAAACTACTCATTTTGATGATCAGTTATCGATACATTGTAAATATTTTATTTAAAATTAATTTGAAAAAGGTAAATCTTCAGAAATTTTAAATAGAAACAAATAATTTATTCGATAACGAATCATTAACGAATAACTGGATTAACTAATAATAGTTAAAAGAAATGTACAGAAACTAAAAGTAAAAAAATTATTTACTTTTTTGTCGTTACCTATAATAACATAATATTTTGATAGCCGCCTGACTTTTATCACTTGTTATCAAGCATCAACGTTATCATAGATGCCTTTACCTCAGAATTAATTAAATTAATAATTAAACGTTAATAAATGTAATAGTTTAAAACTATAATACGTATATTCTATACTTAAGCGGCCTTCAACTGTAACCGATACCAATAATTAGGTAAATGAAAATCATTTTTGAATTTGGTCCATTATGATTTTTAACGGTAACAGTTTATCTCAAAACTCATTCATTCCCCGTACATTGTTATAATAATTATGAAAATTGTTTATGCAACAGACAATATTTTCACCCAATTTCTATATTATCGAACCAATTACTACTTAGTGAACATTTATGCAATCTGGCAAAAATGTATAATGTTGTATCCCGGTAACATATTGACATTCTGTGGTCTCATTCTGGTTAATATTAAGAACAAATTTTATTGTTTATTAGGTAATATAAATTATTACTATACCTATTTACAATTGCCATATTTTTATGTATAATAAATAACTCTTATTGTTTATAATATTGTTATGTAACATGCAGTAAAATACTGAATCGAATAAAATAATAATGTTCAGAGTATTTTTTTTAGCTAATTTTTTTTTAACAATTAAAGTTGTATTTACCAAGTAGATACAAGCTATATATTACTATTGATTAAATATTTTTGATCAATGACATAATTGATATAAGTAATAAACACGAACGAAATTCACGCCGAAATTCAAAACCAGAACCAGTTACAAGCGTCAATTAGTTTATAGATGTTGAGACCGACCCCAAAATGCCAACATGGAAGGTAGGAATTTCGGTGTTTCATGACTAATATTGTCACGCACCTATATAATGCTTGTACGTAATACTTATAATACTTTTTACTTTCCGTGATCATGATTACGGAAAAAATTGATAGGTTTTCATGACGTTAACGAAATCGTTTTTATGTTGACTAGGTACCAAAAACAATATACAATATACGATCAGTGGTTAAAGTGGGGGAACGAAAGGGGACGGAGTCCCCCCCCTTCTTATTTAAGGCAAGATTATGCGTCCTCTTTAATTCAAGTCACCAAAAGTCCGGGTGGATGTTTAATGGCATTGGTTACTAAAATACAATATTTATTATAATATTACAGTATTACATGAAATTTATTTTCTTGGTTCATTTTAACACGTGGAAAAAATGTCGAAGAAATAATATGTAGGTATAACGATAAGCAAAAATGGTAGATAATGTACACAATGGGTTAATTTAATTGACGCTGTGTTTAATTATAGATGGTCCCCGAGCGGTTATTACCCATAGCTCTAAAATTAAAGTGTTAGTGATATCGACTATCATTTAGAATATATATAAATATAATAGAATAACTATAAATAGCATAAATATTAAATTGAGATAGAGGATAGACACTATTTTATTGATAGTACACACCTTATGTGCAATATACGTATTTGTTACTGTCTACGATGACCAACAACTATCAAGGTTAGTAATTGTTTCTTTTTAGTTTTGTTCAGTTTTTTAAACATTACCTACAATCATTAATTAAATATTTAACTAATGCTACTATGTATTTCAATTTATTTTTACTGAGCAGGCATATATATAGAATTATTTTTCTTTGGGGGAAATTTGTTTTTACGCCCTATGAAAATAAAGTTTTTATGAACATATATGTGTAACAAAAGAGGCTTAGACCTCATGGGTTTCCTAAAAAAGGTTGGTAAAATTTAGAATTAGGTAAGGGAACGCTCCTCAATTTTTGATGAAATAGTCCCCCCACAAAATTTTTCCTACTTTAACCACTATATACGATAGAGTTTTGATAAAGCGATATGATGTCCGTCCATTTATTATAGCAATTAAGTATGTATCCTGTAAAGAATCGAAGCAAACATTTTGGTATAGGTACACAATTTTCTTGTGACACTTATACACTATTATTATTGATCAAAATCTTGTTTTAAACACAATTTCTAAACCTACACAGCTTATGTATTTAATAACTACTAAGCAATAAGTTCTTGTAATCGAAGTCGTTGTGAACTAAAATTTTAATTTTAACACGTAATACTAATATTCCTTTAGAATTAGCACAAATGACACGATTACTATGGTAAAAACCACGAATTGTATTTTGTAATTAGGACTTTAAGCTTTGATCAGTTATTTTAAAGTAAAACTTCCAAAATTCAAACTTAATGTTTATTTTAATTATAGGCGTGCGCAGACATAAATTTCAGGGGATTCCTACAGTATTTTTGAGCCCTTATCTTAATTTAGGCCCGATCTAAAGAAGGACATTTAATAAATGAAAATGCAAAGATAAACATTAATTTAATTTTATAATATATTATTCAAATATAAAAATTACTGATTAATAATAACTAGGGCTCGGAAGTTGTTGCATTTGCATATTTTTTTGCACCATTGGATTTATTGCTAAGTGAGCTAGAAATTCGTTCCAAGACACTATGAAAACCATATTAAAATTTTATAGTGCATATTTTTGCACATTTAGTGATTTTTAGATTTTATAGTATATTTCTTAATTTTATAATTTTTTAGAGCATATTTTATGATTTTTGAAGATTCATTATGAAAATTCGAAAAATAAAAAAATAAATACATTCATATTGAGAGAACTTTCTTAATATTCTTGTATTGTATTTTTGAAATTTCCATTTGACATTAAAAATAATGTTTTTCCCCTATTGGTTAATATAATATATGTAATTATAAATTATAACTACAGCTTCATCTAACATAAAATATTATACAAATATCAAATAGGAACAGCTGCTATCGAAATACAATATTTTCAATAAATATTTTTCTAGGAAAATAACTCAATGATTATTGAACATTCTACAAGTGCAATTTTTTTATTTAAGAAACATTTTTAATGCTATTTTATTATTTTTAAATTATGATTAAAATTTAAAAATCAGAATTATTTTATTACTATGCTTTTTCTATATTTATAATTTTTTTTTAAATATTTGCGCAAATGAAAATTTTGTGTACAAAATAAAATATAAGTGCATGCATATTTAGTACTTTTTAAGTGCATTAAGTTCCGAACCCTAATAATAACAAACGCCTCTTACTTAAGTTATTGAACTCATTAATTACTAAATCTACATCAACATTAGAAGCCATTTTTTGTTCTGTGAATAGTAGAATTAATGATTCCAAATGGTCTTGGCCATGGTACTTCTTAATTTACTTTTAACAATATTTAATTTTAAGAATACCCGTTCACCCGTTCACAGGAACAACTAGTAACAGGTAAAATGCTAAATATAGTTACATATACGTGTACGTTCAGTGTTCATTGTAAAATAACAGTACCAGATAATTTGTTAATAATACTCGTATAATAGTAAACAGTCAACAGATAATAGTTTTATATTCTACGTTTATGATTATACATAAATATAACAGATGCAAGTCACCGTGTTGATTTTCCACAACACTTAAAATTTAAAAATAACTCCATGGCTCAAATAATAATGGTGTTTAATCGAATCTAATTGCATGGAATTATATATTTATATCACAACTATATTAGTTCCCAAAGAAATATTATTTCTTGAATCGAATATCTATTTCTTAAAATATATATATGGTTTATTTTTATTTTATTACGAAACATTATTTAATTTTATTTACCATATATTTTAGAAAAAGTTACATTTTATTTTAAGAACATCAGTCTAAATATTGGTTCTTTGCTCTAGGACTTAAGGGCCCCAATTATAAAATGTCTGGGGATGCTCGAGCACACCCGGCACCCTCCATGCGCACGCCTATGATTTCAATTATTTCCAGTGCTTGGAAGAAACGTGTTGAAAGGAACTCGTTCTTTTAATTTCATTCTTAGGAATTTATCGGGAACTTAGTTCCTTTTCAATGTTTATGAACGTATTGGAATTCCGTTCATTTTTTAGAGGAATATGAAAGATTTTTTCGTTCTTTTCTTCGTTAATTTATTTTTAAATAAAAGTAATTAAATCATTTTTTAAAATATAGAGAAGTTTTAAACTTTTTTCTCATAAAGTTTAAAACTTCTTTATATATTTAGATAACATAAAGAGCTAAAAATAAACTTTTTTTTAATATGAAATTATTGATAATGTCTACAAAATGCCCATTCTATCGCAGCGGCCTTGTCGGTGGGACATCGTTAGAGGTTGGAAAAACAGTTTGACGATACGGGTATTATTTACAATTGGTCATTTATTATATTTTCTATTTTTAAATCGTCTCTACGGGCGCTACAGTTAATGAAACTTATCGTTATGTTATTACATTATTGTATAATAGTCGATGAAAATAAAAATAATATGGACTACGTGTGTATAGTGACATAGTGGGCCTAGCCTAGGATGACCATGTTAAGAAAATAAAAAAAACGGGACAGCTGTTATTTCCCCTCTCCCCAAAAAAAATAACTCTCATCCATATACATTCACACATATTCACACAAATCTCCAGAGTCAAAGTCCAAATCTTTGTCAAATCACAATCAATTATTTTCTTTTTAATTTACCCTTGTTTCAGTAAAATAACCTAGACAATAAAATATTTAATTTAAATAATTCATCAAACAACACAAAGTAGCATTTCAAAACTATTATAGTTTTTAAATAATATGCAAATAACGGGATTAAAACGGGACAAAAAGCGTCCCATTCGAATTTTGTCGGGAAAACGGGACGTGATGATCAAAAAAGAGACAATCCTGTTATAAACGGGACGTCTGGTCACCCTAGCCTAGCCACACTATTAATAATTCCGTTTATTAACCGTCTGATAACCGGAAAACATTGACACATCAAACAATATATTGTTATGCAGTGCACACATACTATCATAAGGTAAAAATACTTGAATATTATTAAATAAAAAAGATTTTTTTTAAATTTTGACTGTTTATACCTAATACTATTTTTAATTTACTGGT